GGCTTCCAAGCTTAGTTAATAGACGTTTGGATGCATTTTTTTCTATTACTTTTTTTCTACCACATGGATATTTTGGTAAATTTATCATTTTTTTTTATTTTTTTCGGACGACAAGTAGTAATTTGGGGCAACAAATAACAATCCTGCTATATTAATAGCAACCTTAAATAGTGTATTTATTTATTGTGAAGAATTTTGTTTTTAACTAATTTTTTTTAGTTGGGTTCATTGTCGGGGTGTCGATTTGCGCTGTGACAGGTCGTTGCGCCTGGTGGGGAGGGCCGTTCTTGATTTTTAGTTTGTTTTTGTTGTTGTTCTGTTTTGTGCTATTAGTGTGCATTTGTATTTTTCTACTCTCGTTGGAAATATGTATTCTTCCGTTGGGGACTGTGTATTATCCACTGGGGGTTGGGTATTCTCCATTGAGGAGTGTGTTTTTTCTTTTGTTTTCTTGTGTTGTAACTGTGTTATCTAGGCTATTTTCGGTAAGCATGTCTTTCTTTTCGGACTAGTGAGTTGTATGTAATTATGTGTTTATTGTTACTAGTATTTAATCCTGTGCGTTTGCACAGATATAAAACACGTTTTTGTTTGTTTTTGTTAATTAGACATGTACTTTTATCATATAAAAATTATTACTTTTTCTTAAGTTATTTTTATCATTCGAAATTAATTGAGGTTTAAATTTTATTTTAACCATGTAATGTTTACATTAATAACATGAATAAAATAATTTATATATTTGTAGCATATATTAAGAAAATTAGCATAAATAAAAAAATTATTGGTGTTTCTGATTTTTGGAAAAGAAAATATGTGTCAATAATATTTTTCTTACAACAATACAACAAAATATAGCGGTTACAACTCTGAATGTGTCAATCAACTTTAAGTTCCAACATTAGCCGTTACACATTTGAATATTTTGTTACCAAATTTATAATTAATTTAGTAATTGATCCAAAAAATAAATAATAAAAATATACTACCTCCTATTTTTTTAAATGTCATTTTGGTTTTATCAACAATTAACTAAATAAATTACGTTTTGGATATTTTGTACATATTTTTCCATTATTACCATCATCTAACTAATAAATACAATACATCTTTTCATTCACTCATCATCTTTTCTCCAAAAATTAATCTCTATCATCATTGATGAGGGTTATTATTGACAAAAAAATATTCTTAATTACTGTGCAATTTCTTTTAACGATATTTATTAAAAATAGGAAGGAGTATTAAGGTGTAACGATTTTAGCACATTAGTGAGTAATTAATGAAAAAAATGTAACTTCTTTTAGAGGGAATTGAAAATAAGTTTTATTAAATATTTTATTAAATGCATAGCTAGTAATTATATATATAGATTGTTATGAAATATACGTTTAAAAAAAAAAAATAATTATTGTTGCGATTTATTTCGATTCTAATCATCGGGAACTCGGCGACCTGAGGCCATCTCCAACCGAAAAACCCAAACTCAAACCCATTTTGCAGTAACTATCCCATTTTGCAGTAATTCATCTCCAACCGAAAAACTCATTCTCAAACCCAAAAGAATATTCCCAAAATATTCCCAGAATATTCCCAGAATATTCTCAATTCCCTGAATTGGACCTGAGTCCAATTCAGTCGAACATCTTCTCACCCGTCAAGCCCCAGTCCATGGAGGATGACCTCAGGAACGATAAAGCAACGGTCGACACCACCAAAGCCGACTGTTCTGTCTGGCTCATGAAGTGCCCGCCCGTCGTCTCCAAGGCGTGGCAGGCCGCCGCCACCACCGCCGAATCGCCGCCGGTCGCCAAAGTCGTCGTCTCCCTCGATCTCCTCCGGCCTGAAGATCCCTCCGCCCTCAAAGTAAGCATTTCATTCTCCCTTGGTTCCGTAGTTGGTAGACTTGTGTTTTCTGTGTGGTTTTGTTGTGAGATTGTTTGAAATTCGGGGTTTATTTGGTTCCAGTTTATTGATTAAGTAGGGTTGTGATTTCTGACTTTTGTACTAATGTGTGTGCTTCAGTTTACTATGGAGATGGATGGAAGTGAGGCTCTGAATATACCTAAGGGCTACTCACTCAACATGTTCAAGGATTTTGTTCCCATGGGCATTTTCTCCGAGACAAATGAAGGTGAATGCCAATTGCGAAGTATTTAGTGACCTAACTTTTTCGGCTTACTCAATTTATCCAATGATGTATGGTTTTCCTCATTCCCTAATGGTTTATTTTGTTGATTAATTCTGATATTGAAAATTTAGTAGTTACGTGATGTGCTGATGAATTCTTGTTGTGGTAACAGTTTTGTGACTATCTGAGATATTGAATATGCGTTGGTGTGTGTGTTGTCGCCATTTTCGAAATGTTATGACTGATGACCGCAAAGTGTGGATTTTGTTCATTCCTTTAATCAATTTGCTGATGCTAACATGTGGACTGTAGTGAATGTATGATGTAACTCTTACCTGAAGTAGGGATATGCAGCCATAGATGATTTATTATTTTATAACAATGATGGTGAACATTTTGGTTCTTTATCCTCATTATAATTTTGATCAGTTTGGTCACCAAAAACTGCTATTTACTTGCTCCGAAGATTCTGCGTTTATGTAAGAGGATATCTTTGTCAATGGGAGCCCCCAAAATAAGAATTTTGTTGAAATATCTGGTGGAATATTTCGCATAATTTAAATTTGTGCAACAATTGTTACTGATTCACTGAAATAAATGTACTTATGCTTTGTCTGCTGATTATTGTTACTGTTAAACAGGCAATAACCTAGTTTTCTCTTTAAGAAACGTTGGTTGAGTGAGCCGTCTTATTGGTTTTGATTTTGCATGTCAAATGCTGTACAGCAAATTAACATGCCTTGAACTCTGGAAGTCATTTACGAGGTCCACTATTCAAATCGAAAAGGGGAGGAAGAATTCGTTGCCTAGAGATTTTGTTATTTTAAATTTTGATTTTATTTTATATCTCATTATTTAAATGGGTATTGCTAAATTTTATTTATTCTAGACAAAATTTTAGGTGTCTTTTTCTTTTTTTTTTTTTTCAATGAGTTGGGGCGCAGGAGGAGGGACGGAGAAGTAATTGTAAGGCGCAAGGTGCTCCATTTTGTTGCACGTTTTAATATATTTTTCATTTAAACTGTAGCCAGATTGGCTCAGATGTGCGCAGTTATGTATTACATTTGCTAATTGTTTGTATTAATTTGCTTTTTCTTCAAGCTGCTAATTGTTTGTATTATTTTTTTCTCTTCAAGGAAAAGTAGCAATGGAAGGGAAGGTGGAACGCAAATTTGACATGAAGCCTCACCACGCAAATCTTGAAGAGTACAGAAAACTGTGTCGAGAAAGGACAAATAAATCCATGGTCAAGAATAGACAAATTCAGGTCATACACTCACTTTGACTTCCCTTTGTACCTTTTTCTGACAATGTCTTTTCCCCCTTTTCTCCCTTTGACCACATTCGTGCCGAATATATTAATATTTCATCTCTGCTTGATGTTTATCAGGTGCTTGATAATGATCGTGGTGTGCACATGAGACCTATGCCTGGGATGATGGGACTGGTTACATCGGCTTCTAAGGTGATTATTTACCTTTATACTTGTGTTTTTATATTGAATTCTGTGAAATGTCTGAATTAATCTACTTCGCTCAAGTTAGGTTCAAATTAAAAGATTCAGATACTTAATATCATTCTGAGAAATTTGCTTAAATTGGAGGTGTTAACCTGCTGAGTGTGGATATAAAATTTACGAAGGGTTTGTAAGTGTTTATATTATTTTTAACTTGGCAGGAGAAGAAAAAAGCAGCTCCGGTGAAGGGTTCTGATATGAAAAGAACAAGAAGAGACCGTGGGGAGCTGGAAGATATCATGTTTAAGCTTTTTGAACGGCAACCTAATTGGACATTGAAGCAATTGGTTCAAGAGACAGATCAACCAGCTGTATGCCTTTGCTTATCATTTCTTTGTGTAAAATATATATAATTGACCATGGTTTCTGTCTATTGAATATAATGCTGTCTTACGATCAAGGATTCTTTTGGCTATAAAAGCTCAATTTGTATATAATAGGTGCTGATTGACAATTATTTTTTTTTTTAATATATAAATTTCATTGGGTTAATGTGCCTAACTTTGTTCGACATTCTTTGCAGCAATTTATGAAGGAGATATTGAATGAGCTCTGTGTGTACAATAAAAGGGGAGCAAATCAAGGTACATATGAGCTGAAGCCAGAGTATAAGAAATCCACCGAGGATACAGGTGGTGACTAATGACTTCGCGTCACAGTCTGTATATTATTAGTTTTACTAATAATGAGAAATATTGCTGTCTAAATAAGGTGACCGGTCTGTCTTTTGAGACATTGTTTAATGCCTGGACAAACAGTATATGAAAAACTCAGGAAAGGAATAGGGTGATCAGTGATGTGAGGCATGTATACCAATATCCCGTAATTGCTGACATGATTTGGGATGTCTGTTTTTTTTGGCGGCTTAACATTTTCACTTCAAGCGTGAGATGCAAGTTCCATACTGATGATCTTAAGGTATAGAGATGGGCCTGGAGCTGTTGGTGAATTCCCAATGGCCCAGTTCCTCTGAATTGCCTATAGAGCTTGTGCAGGAGTGATATGTTAAGCAACTTTTGTTTTACCACCAAGGCTCAGCCTAGTGGTCTCGGAGCCTCTGCTAGTGGGCAAATGTGTGTGTGTAAGATAAGAATTATGTAAAATGGAATACTTTCATCATCCATATTTGTTGTTGTATTGTTGCTTTACTTGGTTGAGGTATGAAATGAGGATTCAGTGAAATTTTGAATATGTACAATTGTTTTCTAAGCTTTTTGGGGTTTATCTTCTAAATGAACTTGATGGCAACAGTTAGTGGTTTTGGAACTGCCTACTGAGGATAAGAAGCATCTTCTATTTTATTTTAAGAGTACATGTCCTATGTTTTAGTTTAAACTTTAAACTAGCATACAAGTAAAAGTTATTCTGCTCCTAAGCTGCCACAGACTAACACGCACATTGTGCGCAATACTGAGTCAGCTCACCAGTTTGAAATTAGCTTAAAAGATACTCATTGAACCGAAATAATTGACTTCCATTCGAGAACTCATGATACCATGAATGGCTGTTTTCAAATGCCCCTTGCAGCTCGCATTAGTGCACCACGCTGGTAAATCTAAAAGTTTGATTCACTCTCTTAAATCTTGCATGTTGATCTAGATAACCATAATTGACAGTGCACCATGCTTGTCAATTTAAAGTTTGATTCGCTCTCTGGGTTATTTGTTTAGTGCAAACTGCATACTGTCAGTTTGGTTACTTGTATTGTGTTGTCACCCACCACTTTCTCATTGTTAGAGTCCATGGAATAACTGAAAAAGAGTCATGAAAGTGACCAAGTTGGAATATTCTCATCCCCTTCAAAAGGTCTTTAGATAATTTGTGGACAATAAATGCTTCAGTTTCTTAACATTGCAATTCAACATAGGTAGTCTTTACAAAGACCCATTAAAAAGTGACCTTCAATACTTGTGCTAAAATGAGTAATTTGTAGTGTTCTCCGACTTCCGCTTTTACCTCTCTATATGGTAACAAAGCAGGGAATAGTAAGGATCCGCTTGCAAACACTTATAAGCGATTGTTAGTTTTTGGCTTAAAAATAAGTAGTGTTTTTGTCCCCCTCCTCGTCCCAGATTTGCTTACGAAGTTGTAGTAACATCTGCTGTGGATTCTTTCAAGTAGTCAGAACCTGGAAAGTAGAGTGGATGGTAGTGGATGAGTCGACTTGAACATTAATTTGGTAATGGTGACTGTCAATGACTTGTACTTTGGCATCCTGTCTTTTTCCTATATGTTGCATAGTGAAGGACTGTTAATGGAGTCCTTGTCACCCCCATCAACAAAAAATGCTAGCAAATAAGAGTAATAGAGAGAAAAAAGTTTGTCCAGACACCATTGATAAGTTTATTAGTTGTCCTATTACTCGGAAAATGGCTTCTTCAAAGATTCTGGTTCTCTTGAGGCAGGTAAACATACGATGATATCATGTTCACTTAGTTGGACTCACTACGTATCTAAGTTGTTTGTCAATTGTCATTCGAATCAATCAATGGTTAGCTGATTCCTTTGTTAAATCTTCTTTGTTTGTTGCGTCGGGAATCTTTTTCGCCGTTAATACCTGTCTCGTTAGAGAAACTGATTGAATTAATTTATGCTACGATTTGATGTGTATGCGTTTGTTAATGTGTTTTCTGTAAATGGATGTGTTCATGTTCATACCTAACTCGTTTTAGGTAACAATGCTATATCATTAATGGAGACATTTCCCTACATGAACTATCAACATTTGAAACTATCTTCTCCATAAAGCTTGACTCTTGCCAAATTAGTGTTCAATGTACTCAGAAACACATGGCCATGGACTATCCTGAAAGTTACATTAAACACAGATCAACATTAACATTGGTTTACACTCTCTCTGAATTGTACTATCCTAATCACTTAGCTACTGTTAAAATCAGTGTTTTGTGACCCGGACCGGCCCGGCGGGTCGACCCGGGACCCGGTCGACCCGGAGCCGGAACCGGTCCGGGTGGGTTAATTAGACCGGACAACAACGGACCCGGTCAAACTCGGTCAAAACCCGGTCGACCCGGCCTTGACCCGGTCGACCCGGGACATTGACCCGGCTGGGTCAACCCGGTTGACCCGGTCTATATGTATTTTTTTATTTTTTTTTTTGTTTTTTAATTTTCTTTTTCTTTTTAAAAAATAAAATTATGTATATATATTTATATGATAAATATATACATATTATTACCACTTTAATCTACAAATTTTACATAGAAAATATTTAAATTTATTATTTTTATGTATATTTATATATCACAAAATACTCTATATATAATTTTATAAATTTTAAAATTAATTATCCGGTTCAGCAATTGACCCGGTGACCCGGCGGTTGAACCGGTGACCCGGTGACCCGAAGACCTGCCCGGGTCGATTACCGGGCCGGGTTTAAAAACTATGGTTAAAATCACAAATAGCCCGTTGATTTTTTCCCCTCCATGAAAATCATCCTTATTGGAATATCCATAGATCATGTTATAAATTCCCAATTATCAATTGAACCAAATATAAGTAGGTCTAGATTATGGTAATTATCAATTGAAATTATGAACTTCAAACTGGCTCTTGCTCGTTCTTTCGCCCAACAATCAATGAAAAAGGTAAAATATTAGGCAAATGGCTGCTCTGGAGCTAATACCATCTCCAACTGAAAAATTCATTTTCAAACTCATTTGTAGTAAAAAAACTCTCTTCGTTTTTCCCCTCCCAGATCCCCTTTCATCTTCCTTACTCTACCGGCGATTCGGTCGCTCTTCCTCTCGGTGGGGCTCTGCTAGTAGCTCGTCGGCGGCACCGGATTAGCAATTCGACGCTTTAATCCACGGCGGCCCTGGGCCTTGTCGCCTGATTATTGAAGGATTGCCGGTGGAATGGGTTGTTTCTACATTCGAGAAGGCGAAGCTGGCCTCAGAGTAGTTCTCGCTGTGGTGTCAGGTGCTAGGATGGGGTGTGTAGGTGGCCGTCTTCCCGGGGTTCTTCTGCTATGGCGAGCCCCGACGGTTTCTTCAGTTTTGGGTGGCGGACCCTTTTTTTCCCTTTTTGGAGAGATACTGGGGAAATTCCAGCAATCTCCACCTGTTGCTCCTCTCCTCCTGGTGTTGGAGGGAGGGACTGGCAGCCAGACCGAGGTCCGGGTATTGACCTTGGGCCTGGTTTGTTTTGGTGTCAATTGTGGGTGGTTGATGTGGGGATCTCCGGCCTAGGACAATGGCGTATGTTCGAATTTGGGTTGGGGCTGTTGGAGTCGGACTTAGTTAGGCGTTCTTTTGCAGTTTTCAGGTTGGATTCTGAGGCTGTGGCTTGGTCTGTTTGGATGGAGGTCCGTCTGGCGTTGCCGTCGAGTAGCTTGGTGTAGTTTGTCTGCCG